ATATTTAGAATACTTCATAAGTGCTTTGGCAGAGCTTGTATTTTTGATCAGCTCCTGATGTCCACCTTTTGTCTTTAGAGAGCTTTGTCTTTAGAGAGCCTCTTCGGAGATGCTACTATAGAGGAGGGGTGAGACAGGCCTGTGCGAGTCCAGGATGGTGATCAGAAAGCGAGTTCCTCGTGGTTCTGAGTCAACTAGTTCAGCCTTGCCTGGAAGAAAGCTGACTGCCACAGCATTGACTCATTTCTCCTACACCAGCTTGTACTATCTTTTCAGAAAACCTGCCTATACAAAACACTGGTGGCTTGGTAGGGACACAGACCAGTTGTTAGAGATTCTCATGGTGCCCACAGCACTGAGTGCAGAGCTTAGCACATAGATGATGTTTAATAAGTATCTGTTTTTGAACAGTCCAGTGAGGACTCCAATTTTATCTCTACTGCATGGTCATCAACGCAAGATTCTATTTCTCATTCGTTTATTCAACATAGATGGATTGATAACTCCTTTAGGCCTTGTATTGCTCTGGTTCAGTGAGGGAAAGGTGGATGAGTACATAGATCAATGGCATATAGGCTTTATTTTCCAGGTGTTCGTTGTTTAGAGGTGACAAAGATCTGTGGACTGTTAAAACTAGAGAGAAATGTACTTGCATATGACCTGCCCTATGTAATTGTACTGGGTAAGGTAGTTAAGCAGCCACCCAGAACTGCCAGATCCAAGAATATAAATCTAATATAAATAGACAAACTATTATACAACCATAAGTGTTGTAATAAAGATATAAGTATTTCTTTTTCACTTTGCTCATGTGTATTTTCTTCTCTTAACTAGACTTGGAGACCTTAAACCCAGCACCTTGATGGTTTAATGATAATGGCAATGGGGCTAGTGATAATCATAATAATGACAATAATAAAAACTAACTTTTATCGAACGCTCACTGTGCGTTAGGCATGGTGCTAAGTGCTGGACATGCATGGTTGCATCCTCTCAATTTGTTTTTACAGTGTGTTCAGTGTCACACAATTAGTAAATAAGAGCCCACACACTTACAGGCATGTTAGTTAATAAACTTTAATCTTTTGCCACTTATTTTATCCTTTAGAGTCCCATCTGCCTTATGTTAGATCTTTCTATACTTAAGAAGATAAGCAAACAAAATTTTAATCATATGTATATGGTTTTCTAAGCACTGTGACATTCTGAGCAGCATTCTTGTCCAACAATTAAATATATGAACTTCTCATTTGAGCCCTTATTCTTTACAGCTTTGACCAGCTGAAGAGTTAACAGGGAACAAATGGCAAATGCCTTTAGGATGTTAGAATAGGAGAGAGGCCAAGAGGCAGTTGACCTTGTAGTGATATCTTAGAGCTTTAAACTTCACTGGATCAACAAGCTCTGTATGACAATGTCATGTACTGCTTTATCAAATTAATGAGCTTTCACTCCCAGTCAGTCTTGTCATTGATTATACCTTAATCCTGGAGCAAGTCGTTGATTTGGCTTTGTGTTGTGTTGTTGTTAACTCGGGGAGTCAAACTGAGAGGAAAGGGGGATGATCTGACACAGAACAATTAACTACACCTCAGAATCTTCTTCACCTTACAGTGGATTAAGCTTTGAGATTTGGTAGAGCTGGTGGTTTTACCATATTGAAGCAAGATAAGCTTAAGGGCTGAGATAAATAAAATGTCAAAATCTAAATACAGTATCTCTCAGAAGAAATGTATTCATCTTTTTTCCCTCTGCCTGGGTAATCAGCACTCTGCTGACAGAAGCTTAGCTGGTGAGAAAGCCCTGGGCAATTCTGGAAGGACTGAAAGCATATTCTCTTAATGGGACACACAACCTTCAGTGCCTGTCACAGAGCTTGCCTGACACAGAGCTCGACTTCTTTTCAAATTCAGTGGTATCCTATTTTCAGATTCCCATGAAACACAAACAATCTTCTGAACAGATCTCCAAAATTATGCACTTGTCAAACAGCAATACCTGCTTTTTGAAGACAAAGGAGCATATGGTTAAAATCAAGAGAATGGATTAGGCTGTCTATTTGATTCTGCCCTGGGAGCCAACCCTGTTTCCGTATTGTAGGAGCCACTTTCTATCTTCTTGAGTGTTACACACAGGGATTATCAAGAGAAATGTCTCAGTGGAGTCTTTGTGGAGAGAATGGCCATAGGGTGCTTTGAGGCAGTGTTTGTGGGGGGTTGGCTGCAGCCAGTGCTCTCCGGAGAGCACCTGGGGTTCAGGCTGACAGAAGCTGACCTGTAGACGGTGACTCTCTGCTAACCTGTGGGTGATTCCCATTTAGCTGGAAGTCTTTTTTCCCTTTCTACTCCTCATCCGGGGGAAAAGCTAAGGGTGGCTTGGGATAAATTGTTAGTCCCTGCCTTGAGGATATTTTTCTACAAAACCCAGCTTTCAGTCAACTAGGAAAACAAGGATATAGAACAGGCATACCTGCCCTAAAAAAAAAAAAAAGAGAATAAAGCTACAGAGTGATAATTTTACTGCAAGAGTTCTCTTTGAGTCTGACGATATTATTCATCCCTGTGCTTGC